CTCCAAGAACTTTGGAAGCAAAGAGAGCAGAAGGAAATAGTAAATACAAGTACGAAATACGGCTCTATACAAGTGGGGTGGGCACGCCCAGCTTTTCACGCATGTCAAGTGACTGCCTCACCCCACCCCCTAGATTGGCTACACTCCCCCTGGCTCACGAATTCCCCAATTCTCGTGACAGTATAGTAGCGAGCAGCAGTCTCACTTACATATCATTTCTGATTCAAAAAATTTCTGCGTGCCCACCCTACTTATATAGCACCTTTTTTCTCTCACGGTACCCTCTCCATTACCTCGATTTCACTGCAGTCGAAATTACTCTAAACGAGAAGTTGTTCAGTGAAGCCACCTAAAACGAAATCTCACGAAGCTTATCCGTAGAGTAGGTCGAACCCCTCGCTTCTCAGCTACAAAAGGTACGTTAAAAGCACCTTGTCTATCCATACTTCCATGTCGATTTAATCTTCGAAACATTTGTAACCGGTAATTGGAAACTGTAAATGCCATCGTTCAAGTTATACGAGATTCTGAATGGCAAAGGTCGGCATCTTCCAATTAAGAGGATTAGTATTTCGAAATAATAACGTGAAGAGTGTGATATGGTATGGTTTCAATAATCTATTGACAACACATCTTCCTCTCACTCAAAGCGTCGTCATCTGCGTCATTCCCTCATTCCATACATAGTGTCACCTTCCATTGCAAAAAACAGCTATACTGCTGGCGCTCATGTCCTTAAGAGGGCTAAGCATTATGGAGGGAAGGGTCGAGGAAAGCATGTGAGCAGCATTTTTCTACCCGGCGTTCCCCCTCTCCTGGGTTCAGTCCCCGTGTCACGCTATCTCGGTTTTCAAACGCTCTGTTGAACGTGGGATGGATACAGGATAAGCTAGTCAACTTACTTCTTGGTGCCATAGGTCGAGATCGCCTTGGAACGTCCTGCGCAATAAAAATGTTAGGCCGATGTCAGACTTTGCGAATCGCGCGATTCGCTAGCGTCTGCGGTCGCGTCGCGGCCAGTGAATCACTCAATTGGCTGGTACCGCAACGCGACCGCGGACGCTAGCGAATCGCGCGAATCGCTAGTAGCGAATCGCGCGATTCGCAAAGTCTGACATCGGCCTTAGCGGGTGATAACTTCTCCAGCTAATTTTACTGTTCTGCTTGATTTTTTCTTGGAACATTCCCGGCGCAACGTTATGATTGTTCTAGATCGAAGAGTTTGCGTGCACTCCCAGTGAACCAGTAGCTCTTGAAGGAAACTCAACAGAGAACCATCGATAGGGTTCTGTCAAGAGGCACAGATCAAGGTTAGTTGCAAAGAAGAAAAATTCCTCTGAACGTTTATGCACACTTGTTTCATTTGTTGTTGTCGTTTAGATTTCTAGCGTCGACGGATGAATATTACTCAGGATTGGCATAAAACTACCAGCTCGCATGGCTTTCAGTAAATACACGGAAGCAGGGAGTGTTTATGCAGAAAAGTGTTTAGATAACTTTTCGTTCATTCTGAAGTGTCCTAGGCAAAATTGGTGAAGCCGATACCGTCTGGATAACTGCAGTAGCAGAACAGCCTCAAGGTCATGCTGGTAAGAACGGTCGTGATCCAGTATCCACCCGTTTCTGGAGATAGTGTTCCTCAGCGGTCGATGGAAATGTTTCAAAGGTTGGTTGTCATTCTCAGCTTACTGATATCCTACGAGAAGTGAGGCACCTTTATTAAAGGTTCATGACAACTTCCACGCAGAGAAGGCGGAAGTTTTTGTGGACGATGGTAAATTCGTAGGGGCATTGGACAAAGTATTCCTAATGCTCATATTTTTGCAATCTCTGAATTCACTACTATTGCGGTGGACAAGCTTTTGAAACTTAGGCCATGTCTACTGTCTAGCTTCAGGGGATATTTGTTTATTTTGGTCCAAAAGCTGTTGGGATTTGGCTGATCATGCCTCTTGAGGGCTGATGTCAAACTTTGCGACTGGAGCGACTGGTGCGAACGAATCGCGTACGCAATCAGTCGCAGTCTGTCATTAGCCTATCTTGAAAAAGGTGTGGTTCGCTAAGACATAAAGCGACTTTTCCGTCGTTCGCGGCGTGAAACCTTTTTACACTGCAGAAATCTCAGGCCTACTCTTTTTCAGGGGTGGACCTGTGCTTCCTGGTGCAGAAGAAGTTTCGCGCTGTGAAGAACGGAAAATTAGTTTTCTGTCCTAGTGAAAGCGAACCACATCCTTTTGAGCAAGGGTCTGACGCTCCAGTTGAATCTTTAAATCATTCTTTTAGATACTCCGAAACTGTTGTTAATGTGAAGGAATGCAGTGTACCACCTCATCCAAATGAAAGGGTAAATGTTAACGAAGTTATTCTATCTAACTTTCTGCAGTGCTTTTGCGACAACTTTTAGATCCATTACATGCCAAATTATTTCCATTTTTCAGTACTATTCCAAGATGTTAGCTCACATCTCATCATGGGATTTCTCGTCGCAGTGGATGCTGAAGACGAACTGAAGGTTATTAAATCGTTACTGCTTTCGGATTGGAACGTGGAAGCGCTCGTCCAGTATATTTTCTGGAAATGCAGCCAAATGAGAATGCGATTCTTTCAGAAAGCATGCGGATTCACCTGCAAGTTGATTACGTGGCTTCTGTATGGACTCACTGACAAATTTAACGAGGTGAATATTGTAGCTTCATCTTGTTGCCCGTGCTATTGCTCGTATTCCTAGCAAATATTTTTAGAATAAACTTTGGTTCCAGCACTTAAACAAAGCCCACATTTCTGTTCATGTGTACATGCAACCTCTAAGCTGAGTCATAGCTGCTGTCTGCTCACAAGGTGAGCCACTGTCTTTGATTGAGAACTTTCCGAACGTTTTAATAAAAGTTGACTAGACTCACCATTAATGTCTTATAGCTGGATCGAACAAGGATAACTATGCAACAGCTTCATTCATACTACCACCAGTTCTGCAGCCGTCTGTAGAGGCGTTTGAGGAGTATCACGTTGGAGTCCATAATGGGCGAAAGTCCACATATTCAATGTGTCACACGGTATGTGCACTTGTTTATTTGCGTGGCACAAGGTTTTCACAATGAATTTAACTAGTTCCTTTTTAATAACTCATTCCTCCAACTGTGTGCAGGGAATCTGCGGGTGCGCTTCCTTGTAGCCCTTAATTGCCGATCCGCTATTACCGATGCCGTTGCCTGGCCACTTACCAAGGCGTTGCAGTGCCTCTCCTAACTGAAAAAGACCCTTTACTTTTTAAAGTTCACGTATACCGCCCATCTACATCTACAAACTTTGAATGGAGAGTGATAAATCGATACATTCAAGAATGCTTATTACAAATATGGAAGCCAAATCTGTTTTTTTATACAGTTGTGAGCGTTACTAACAATATTGGTTACCAGGAGCAGATCTCTTCGCACTAAGCGTGCGGTTCTCTTCGCACAAGTATTTGTATTTTTTTTCTGAAACTCTGCCAGTGTGAGAATAGGTGGCCTGATAATGAGTATGACATCCATTCTGACACGTAAGCTGTCTGGGGCCGTTTTGACGCCAAACTTACATTTTCGCCACATTTATTGCCAACTTTAACCGCTCACAGCTTGCTTGGAAAGCTCACGTAGCTGGTTTAGTCCCCATAATTCTGAGTAGTGTTCATAATCTCATCGTTTTCCCAGTTGAAGCCTACTTCTTGATCATCCACATTTATCTCTTTATCCGCGATGACTGGATGCAATTAACACGTTGACGATAGCCCACTGTGCGCACATCTCGGCACCATTCTTATGATCTTTTTCTGAAAATCGGTATTACCCCTTCAAAAACTCGTTGATGCTCTTAGATACATCTTTTCCACAACCTACAATGAATATGGACGGTTTTAAAACATGAAAAATGCCAAATAAACAAAGCGAGGTTTCATTCTTGTGAATCTCATACTCATACTCGAAATCATACGCTTCAGGCTGGCGTCAATGTGTGGAAGTATTATATTTTCTCCATATTCCGACTGTGGTAATTCGCCGCAAACTGAGCTGGACAAAATGTAAATTGTACCAATGAGCGAGCATTCATCAAATGTCAGTTCTTTCACGTTTCCAAATCAAGGACTCTGTCGAGGTGAGTGTTGGTTTCTTTTGAAACCTTCAAAACATCTCCAGACGGAGTTCTTCTTAAAGGAATCTTCCACGGACCATGGACCAGTGGGCGGGACCGGAAGTGGTTTTGCGACGAAATGCATGGTAGGTACGGATCCACGTTCATGGGAAGGTTTGAAGTGAATCCTGTTCACGTTCGTGCGTTCGACACGTGGATCCGTACCTACCATGCATTTCGTCACAAAAACTTCCGGTCCCGCCCACTGGTCCATGGTCCGTGGAAGATTCCTTTAAGCAACAATTTTATTCACTATCTATTTATAAATTCTAGTTATCAGTGAGCTTGTGTTCAGCTTCCCGTGACCTCTCCAGCGACTGGCATCCGTGTGATGCGCCACTGAGAAACGTCGTTCGTTGTGCTGATACACATGCTACTGACACTAAGGTTTGTATTTTTCCATAGAGTATATCGATTTATGGAATTTGCGAGATTTGAGTACCAGCAAAGAAACTAAGAGGACTTGACAGTTTATTGAAAGTCCTGCGTGAAATTATCTCGCCGACTTCGACCAGTGGTCACGCGAGGCATCGAGGAAAACCTCGGTAAACCGCCTCCCTTCCACCCCCCCTCCCCCCTTAGTAACAACTCACCTCTGCGTACGGGCAACCTTAAAGAGATGTGATTACACTTGCAATGCATTCGTGGACCTCGGAACAGCTTATCTACTAGGAGAGCACGTTCAAAATTGAATACTTATTCAAACGACCATATCTACCGTAAAATTGAACGAGTTTTCAATTTGAAAGAACTTTAGAAATTTCTCGACGAGTCTTTTCAGGAGTGCTAAACTTCTGATAAATAATGAGAAATTATCATTTTCGGGTAACTAATGGTGAAAATTGTTTAGATGTGTAGCTACATAATATTGCTAGAAATTGTCATCCAAAAGTCTGTCTCTTGAAACTTGATGCAGTGACATGCCGGATGTATCAATCAGTAGAGCATACCTACATATTTCCAGTTGAAGTCAGTCAGCAAACAACTGTCGGAGTCGGTGAACCGTGGTCCAAATGTGGATCGAGAGTGAGTTTGGGGATTATTGAATAGCATCTTCTACCTTCATTAATTCTACTCAGCTCATTCATTTTAGAAGGCTCCATCTACCAAAGTGTGACTCTTCAACAACGGCAGTGGACCTCTCCGATCGCGAGCCGTACACACGATTTTGTCCTGTTCTGAGGTGACTGACCAATAGCTATGGGCGCCCGAGATGGGTATTTCAAACTTGTTATTTACTGTACTCCGCTCATTTTGGACTGTGATATCCACTCTTTGAATCTATTTTGGGTGTTCGAGCCTGAGTTTTGCTCAGTTTTCTGCTCGTTGTTTTCTAATCTAGTTTAGGTCACAGAGCTATAGCACTGGGTTGTGAGGGGAGGGGCGTTCAAAAGGCTAGCGACTCGTTCATACGTATAAAAAAGGGAAGGAAGGAAGGGGGAGGGAGGGGAGGGATAGTCAAGTTTATTGGTCTCCGTCAACTTGTTTCTATTTTCGTTGGAATTATGTTCCCACATCAACCACAAAGGGTGTCTTTGTGAAGTTTTTTCTTCATTTTCAAGCTGGGCGTAAGCGTAATTTTTCCAAATTGTGCCAGAAAATTGTAGGGAACGTGAACTCATGCGGGCTGAATACTCCATTCTGTAATTCGTTTGATTTTGGTATAACCGGGCAACATCCACGGCCACTCTAATTTGGGGTATTTTAAATGTTAACTGATTTCTTCAACGTTCGGTCATTTTAATTTCCACTTCTTTTTAGAATTGTGAAGAAAACTTTTCTTAAACCCTTCAAATGTCGTTAATCTATGGAGCGTAATTTTTTTCTACGGTAGGCTTGCGTAATTATGGAACTTTATGTTAGGGCACAGGTTAGGGAATAACGAGCAGAAAAAGAGCGAAAAGGAAGGGATAGCGATCGAGTGCTGTATCAAACAAAAAAAAAGGTATTGGGCGCCCATAGCTTACAAGCAGTCACCTTGTGTTTGTGTACTACCCACCCTAAGTTTTCCAGAACACAGAAGGGCGTGTACCTTCTGAATGACTTCATCCTTCCATAACGAATCCCCGCGCCATGCTTCCCACTGATGCCCTCGACTCGCGGAGCTCTCGTCGAGGTCAACAGATTGTTGGGTCTTAGAGTGTCGCAGGTCCTTTTAGCTACTTCCTTGTCCGATGTCCACTGGAACGGATCACTAGTGAGCGATGCTCGTGACAGCCGCGCCCGTAGAGTGATTACTTGGAGAAAAGACGGTTGGCACAATCCATAGGTGAAATTTAGCTCCGAAAAATCGATAGTGAGGCTTTTGTGGTCAGCGGATCGCCGATGATTTCATGGTGGAAATTCGCGCACTCATCAAGCACCACAAGCCCACGATATCGCTCCTATGGCTGCAAAAGAGTTGAGATCGAAACTCTTGGTTTGTATCTTCTGTGCAGCATCGCGCCCTTCTTCACCTCTGACAGAATTCTAGTCCAGCGAAATCAGAAGTAGGTTGATCACTAGTAGCCATTTAGTCATTGTTCAATTTCGTAGTGGCAACCGTTGGTGCTATCAGTTGTTCTGACCTATTTCGTACCCTTGAGAAGGGGTCAGCTACTGGATAAACTGAAGAATTATGAGCTATCCTTGCAGAGGAGAGCGAAGATGGAATCCATGTATAGGATGGTGATGTTGCTTTGAGCGAAAGATTCTCAAAACATGGACCAGCAATCAGTTGAACTGAAAATACTCAGCATGCAGTCTTTTGCTGTCGGAGGCGGACCTCTTCGAGAAATCTTGCTGGCGCTGCTGACAATTTCGCGTAGAATAAGGGTTTCCTTAGCTTCTCAAATTCCGAGAAGGCTGCTATCCATTTTGAGAGTCGTGCGAACAAAATTCGTACCAGCTTCACACTGACCAGGTCGTGCACGCGCCGTGGTTTTGCAGCATTGAAGGACGCTTTGCAGTTCTGCAGGAACCGTACAGTGACCTCAGTTTTGGAGGTCGAAAAAAGTGTACCAGATATAACTCCAGGCCAATTTTTCAACCTGATTTCTCCATTGCTTTCTCAGTCTCGTCATGGCATCGCACCAACTCAACACTATGGCCACTGAAAGGACATGCTTAGAGAGTGGTAAGTTTTTACGAAAAGTTCGGATGAGTTGCAGGAGTTTTTCGGCGCATTCTTGAACTGCCTCGAAAACATTTGCATTCCTTGAAATAATCTTTGACATAGTCTGTTCCTACCTTTGAATTCCTTTTACGAACCGAACCTTCGACGCAATGGTGATGTAGTTAAGCTCAAAAAATTGACCCAGGTGAAGCAAATTAAACTGCAAGGTTCAAGCTTCTTAGAAAATAC